GTTATAATTTGAGAGATTTATAGTATTCTCTAATTTTGTTTTAAAATAACTATGTTTTTTTTTTATTTTTAAGAACGGAAATTTTAACAAAAAAAAAAGCTCAAAAATAGGATTACTAAGATTTTTTTTTTCTAATTCACACTTCTTAATTTGTCATTTTTAACATTATATTAATTATTTTCTCAAAAAAAATTATTCATTTGATAATATTAAATTGGATAGATTTTTTTGTCCAATGACAAATCATAATTTCCAAAATGTAATAAAATATAATTTGTTAATTAATGGAATTTCTTTTTATATAAAAAAATTATGGAAAAAATTTTGAATTGTATGCAGATAAATCCACTTCCTACAAGAATTCATCAAATTAGTTGAGAATCAGAAAAAAAAAAAAAAAGGATAAATTTCATATCTATCCCTTGTGATTTACAACTTTTTCATTTACCTTTCTATAATTTTTTTTCTCATTTATAATTTTATAATCCCCTTTTGCTATCACAAAAAATAATAACATTAAAAAATAAAGATAAAGATATTTTTATAATTTTATTAAAATTTATTTGATTTTTAACGTCGTTAATTTTTTAAGTAACTTAAGTAAATCCTCTTCTAACAATGAAAATAAACCAGATTATAAGCGAAAAAAAATTCGAAGACATAAGCGAAAAATAGAAAAATTTTTGAAAATTTAAATGTGAGACACCACGGCAAGTTGTTCCACCCCGTCCCGATGAAGATAGATTTATTTATTATTTATTTAAATGATGCAGGCTAAGCCTGCTTGAGAAGAATATAAATTAATTTATTTCTTTTTTTCTTATTGTTTTCCATTTGTCATTTTTATTATATAATTCGTTAGCTACATTTTTTCTAATGTATTAATTTTTTAATCTTAGAGCCAAAGAGAATGTTTCTAAAACCCATTTTTTATGTTAAAAGTTTTGACTTCCCTTAATAAGTTAAATTTTCATGGCCAGCATCTAAGTTTCATCATTGTTTTTTTGCCTAATCCAATTAAATAACATAGTATTAGTTAATAATGCAATAATAAAATATATATTTGAGATTTAAATTTTAATGTATGTAATCTTTTGTTATTCTTTATTATAATATATTTTTTAAAAAATTAAATATTATTTTATTAAAAAGAACATATACTTACTACTTAATTTAACATTAAGTTTGGATTAAGGGAAGAAGAAAAGAAATAAAGGAAAATGAAAGAAAATAATGAAAATAATTTTTTTTATTTGTTTGGATAAATTTTTAATTTAAAAAAAAGTAGAAACTCAATAATATTTAATTTTTTTATAATCTTTATTTTTTAATGCCTCAATTTAGAGGAAAAGTTAAGGAAAAAATTAAAAATTTTGTATTTTTATAAAAAGATTATTATATTTACATTTTTATTATAGTATTAAATTTAATTATATAACTAATACTTTCTACAAAAATAATTTTTTATAAGTATTTTATATAACATTATAGTTTATAAATATTTTATAATTTTTCAAGTTTATAAATATAATAACAAAATAATTTAAATTATTGTCAAAATAAATTAAAAAATTAAATTAAGTATAAAATTAAGAGTAAATCAATAATTAATTAATATATTTTACTATATTAAATATACTTAATTTTGTTTAAAAATATTTGTTTATACAAATTAAATAGTATAAACATATATTTATATATTATATGTAACTTTTATAAAAAAAATTATAACTGAAAATAAATATTATAATGAATTATTGTATTTTAAAAAAATTATTTTTCATTTATTTTTATTTTTATTAATATTTGTTCAAATATAATATAATAGTGGATATTAATCATATCACATATGGATCATCTCTCCTTATCCATCTAATCATAGGTATTAGGTTGAAATGATGATTTGTTAAAACTTTGCTGTCGTGTGCAATTTAAACATGTTACAGTTAGATACGTGGATATGCTTTTGTGGATAAGACAACAACTTGAATTCACGAGAGTTGTACCTTACCTATCCCATTTAATTATAAAAAAAATTTGTGTTTGGTTTTGATTAATTACTCAATCTGCTACAAAAGGCCAGCAATGGTATCTTTATTTTTTAAAAATAACATGTATATAGAAAAAAAATTGAGTTATATTAGCGTAAAATTAAATTTTTATAATTTTATATATAATTAATATTTTAGCAAACATTTTAATTTAATGGTTTATTCATATTTGTCATATAGAAAAAGTATATATATTTATATTAAAATAATTAAATTTTATAATAAGATCTTACATTTAATATAAACTAGATTTTAGTATGTGTGATGTATGAATAATAATGTCAATTTATAATAGTTTTTTGAAAGTAAAATAAAAGTAATAATATAGAGAAAAAATGTTTTTTTTTTTAATTCTTAACCTATTTTTAAATTTTATTACCCTTGTACTCACGTGATTGATGGCAATTAAAGTTTTATAACTGAAAAAAGAGGGTAATGGCAATTTAAATTTTATTATTTTAATTATGAATTTAATTAAAAATAATTTAAAATAAATAATAAATACATATAATTAATTTATTTTTTACAAAAATAATTCGAATAAAATGAAATGTATTAATTAGGGCATATATGACGTTTATTTAAAAGCATAGACGTATCAAAAGAATAAACCATCTACATTATAATCTTTTTTTTATAAAATATTTTGATTTTTATATATTTATATATAATATAAAATGTAATAATACTAATGATTAATTTGTCAAAAAATGTTCACAACGCGTAGGATAAGAATCTTTAGGTTTATAATTGGTGCAACAATTTTTATTTTAATTTTATATGATTTCATATCATGCTTTTACATAAGAAATGTTGACTATAATATTAATATATATATATTTAAAAAAAATTAGAGATAAATAAATTATTTAATTTTTCAAATCAAAATAAAATGTTTTGTATTTAACAACTTAAAATGAATGATTACAAATTATGTATTCGAGATAATTGATCACTGATAAAATTTAAATTCAGTATATTTTTATCAAAAAAAATAAATTTAATCGATTAAATCAATTATTTATTAATTATATATATTTATTTATTTTTATATATTTTACGTTCCGAAAAAGTACATGACCTACGATTAAATGATACTTTTGAAGTGGTTAGTGGTTTATGGGATCCACGACGTTACCCTTATCATCAACGTTGTACTCTATTTACAACGTCAATTAAATTTTGACTTTTTTTTTTGGGTTGCTTTTGTGGGTATATATAAGGTTATCAATTTTAGGGAGAAAAAATTTTAAAAAATAATTATTTCATGTTAATATATATTTTTAATTTAAATTATTATAAGATAAAAAGTTAATTAAGACGTAAATCTCATAATTTCAAACATTAAAATGATTAAGATTATTCATTGAGTGTTAATGGGTTTAAAGTAGTTTGAAGTTTTGTTACTATCAATGGGACCTAATTGCTATGCTTTCATGCTTGACACAAATAATTTAAGATTATTAATTAAATTATTTTTTTATATTTGAGATTATCATTAATTAAATTTTAATTATTAAAATTAAAAATTTAATACTCTATCAATATATTATGTCATGATCGTTGGCTAATTAACTTGTTTAGGTTGATGGCATTAATTTGATATTATTAACTTACAAATTTGTTTGATAATTTTAAAAAAAATATAAGGAAGAAGAGAAAATTTTAAAATTTTTTTAATAGAAAAAAAATTTGAACATGAAAAAATTTTATCGTTTAAAAAAAAAGGTGAGATTTGTTTATTCTTATTATTCACTTTTGTTGGTCCAATGGATAATGATTTTCCTTGCAACATTCTTATCCACTTTTTCTTTTACGTTTTCCTAAGTTAAAACATTCTAATCGAATCTACGATTCGATCTGAGTTATTTACACTAATGATAATAACAAGTGTTTTAGGCACAATGATAAAAACTTGTAAGGAAAGACACCACTTTTTGGTCCATCGCTGCTACAGCTTCAACCCTTAAAGACAAGACAAATATGTCGCAGCTACATTGACCCAACAAAGACTTTATGAATATCTATATAGCAGTATAATGCACGACTGACTTGACTCTAGTTAATTTTGCGGAAAGAGCCGCGGAATGTGACATCCTAACTTAAAAATTATGCTCAGCCATTAGTCGGTCCAAGGCGAAAAGAAAATTTATGGACCTTCTAAGCTAAGTAAGCTTTGTCCTAAACCTTTGACTTATTGAGTCTATCACAAGTTATGGTCCAAAATTGGAAGCCCAAACCAAAATAATTGAGAAAAACAGACAAAATTGCAATCTCTATCGATTGTTTGATTGAGATAGAAAAAGCCCCATTAACACTTTGAGGCTGTCACCCCTCAAAGCTCAGAAAAGAATAAAAGGGAATTACATATCGAAGAACCAAAAAAATACGATTAAATCAAAGTGAAAAGGGATCTGGGGATCATTTTAGAAGGGTTCTTGTCAAGTGTTCACGAGCTGTAACCAATGTTTGACTTGTGGTCTGTAATAGTATTAGAAATAAAAAATATAGACCTTTATAATTACAACCTAAACGTTAATAATGCAGTTATATTAAAAAAATTTATATATATTTATTTTTTAATTTCGTTTGTAAAATTAAAAACTCTTATTGAAATTGGTGTTAGGAATCTCATGTTAATATGTAGCAAATTTGAAGGATTTGTTTGGCAATCTTCTGACAGCTCTTTGACACATGTTTGTTTAGGTCAGACAATTAGTATTTCATGGATTTTTCTCTACTCGTCCTTTATCCTGCATTGGCATGGAGATATTGCTTCACAAGCAAGTGATTCTGGTTTCTGGTCATACGGTTTAAAAGCGCCAGCAATTTCACTCTTCATTTGACAACTCAACTTTTTTTTTTTTTTGGTCAAAAAAGTTTAGGGTTGAAGGAGGCTTAAGTATCGACATATCGTTCACCAAAGGGATTCCTGGCAGTAAGACTTGAACCCAGACTTTCTAATCGAAGTATTCAAACTTTATCAACTCTAATCAACATTTGACAACTCAACTTCAAGAAAGCCTTTTGATTGATCCGTTTCTCTCTCTTTCCCCTTCTAGCCACTTGACCTCTCGTAGTCTTGCTTGCCCTCACAAGCTAACCTTTTCTCTCCAATCCCTTCAAATCAATCTACTAATATGGTAGTCTTTGAGGTGGTGCATTAGCCCCGTATAGCCTCTTTTGGGTCTAAGAGGCCTATAAATCAGAAGAAATCTTGGCTTTTGCCTAGACTGCAGTGCCTTTTTACCTCTGATAGTTTCATTCCTAATAAGGGTTGGAAAATCCAGTGGCAGAGTCCCATTATGTGAAGAAAAGCATCAATGTCTGAGACATTCAGAACTGCAGCAATTTTAAATGCGTTTGTTAAAAAAACTACTACTACTGGTCAACTTTTCATAGGTTGGTTAGTGGGGAGCACACAGGCTAATGTACCCTTGATCAAATCTTGATCGTCCGTTTGGAAAATCAGCCAAATGGCAATTAAGAAATTTTGTGGTCCCTGATTCTTTCTTAGATTCATTAATAAGTTTTCCATTTTCTTCTACCGGTGATAAAAACACCAGGTGCTACCCAGTAATCATGCAATTATCTTAAAGGGCGATGCCATTCATTCAACGTTATATCTGAATCTTAAGCTTTGAGGTGATAGCTGTGAAACTGAGCCAGGGAGGCAAAGCTCGAAATGAGGAAATCTTGATTGCACCACTCTGTGAACATTTCTAAACTCTTTAGCTGATAGTCAGGGCAGTAGGCTCAGCTGCAGGCTTATTTCTATGAGCTTGGGGGAAAATTTTCCAACAGTGAAAGGCTGGGAGTCGGGGACTTTCAAAAGAAAGTCAATTATCATCAACGAAAGTTGGCACTGGCAAACACTTACAAATGTTTTTTCTATGGATTTGTGTCTGACTACAGGGACATGATCTTTCAATGTACTGTACTACGCCCAGTCAGTATCTTTTTTTCTATAAATAAAAAAGTGAGAGTGAGCACAGCTGATTTCTCAATTATCACTGGAGTATAAAGACAGGTCTCCGCTCTTTAGCATTAAACACCACTTTGTCAATGCAAAACGCCATCACAATTTGAATTATGGTGAGGAAAACTTTACTATTGTTGTTTTAAAAAAAAAACCATGCTCAGAGCTCAGAGTAATCTTTTACTATCATTCATTTTCACCAAACACACCAAAAAGCATGTAAGACAACTTTAACTTAGCTCAGCAGTTTCTAATGGTAATCTTTCATTTGCAGACTTCGAAGCGAACTGAGTAGAAATAAAGATTAAAAGTGCTTTGAGATCAGTCATCATTCTCTCCATTTTCCAAATATCTAAAAAAGAAGCATTCTATTTCTACAGTCTATAGCATTTCACCCATAGGTGCAACTGACCTGACATTACTGAGATGAAAGGCTGAGCTGAATCATTTTTGTGTTGATTGCTCAGTTCATCTCATAATTTAAAAGCTCTTGACGTTTTATTTACTGTTCTTGTTGAGTGTTTCCAAATCTGAGCTTTACCACAAGCAGTGTCTAGTCTAGTGCCAGTCTAGTTTAACAGAGTAGATTGACAGTGCAAAAAGGTCTCATATCCGCCCAATAAAGGGTTCTTCAAAATTATAGAATTTATACTTTCTTTTAAGTGAAATCATTATATTCTTAATGAAACATCTGATAATGTTTTATGGCTATGATCTCATGAATAGAAGAACTAATATTGGTGTTTCAAATCCTATTTGACCAAAAATTTGCAAACTTCCCCTATAGCCATGCATACATATACCAGACTGCCTTTACTTCCGAGAAATCAACTTCAAGTTGTTTGCTGTATCAGGAAAGTAAAAGGTGATACTAAAATCTGGCGGACCTGCTCATGACTGAGTTGAAAAATGCAGAAGATGTCCTAAATCAGTTTGTACTATTAACTGAATTTTGTTTCCGGTTCTAAAATTGCTAAACTTTTGGACACTTAACAATTACTGGTGTTCTACAAATCCATCAATGAAACAAAAGATGACAGATATATTTTTCATGTATATTCCGGTGATATTCCCTTATTTCTTAACTGGAGCATTTCAAAGCCGAATCTATGCCATTTAAGTTTTCGGCGGAAATGAATTCAACCATAAAAATGAAAACAATATCAGAACTAAATGCACATAACTATGAAACATTTTATCTAAATGTTACTACAATTACAAGATTATAACAAAAGTTCTCATGTGTATGAACATGCAATAATAACCAAAGGATTGGCTCAATAATCAAAGATCAGTAAGCTTGGGTTTATGGAATCTGAAAGATTTCGAGTTGTAAATGCAGTGCAAATTGAATAGGAAAATGGAGTTCCCAGTTTATGACATGTACAAGCAAGGGTTAGTAACCATAACTTGAACTAATATGCCTCATCTAACTGAAGCAGAAAAAAGAGGCTATCACATCCACCCTTCTTTTATTTCCAATCTTCCATACGTGAGTAACATATGCATTTTGTTAAAAAGTCTAGCACAACGATTGCTACACTGTTATGATTTAGTGTTTTTTTACAAAGGAGCATGCAGCCTAAAAGGAAAAAGGTTACAGGTACCAAGATTTGAATCCCAGACCCATTAGATGCCACTTTATAAGGTAAAGGAAAATTGCATAAACAAACTGAACTAAATTATGAGTTCTTATGATTTAGTGTTTTACACAGGTAAAATAAGATCCTATTATGTCACTTTACAAGTTCATGCCCGAATTAACTTGGGAAGTTTGAGACATCTGTTTATGTTTCAACTTCATCATTTACAATCTTTTACACAGTTAATAAGTTAGATGCTGATGATTACTATAAGGAAATTGTGTCACATGGACTTAGTCAAAGAACAACTGGGCATCATCGAGATAAAGAACTCTAGATTTATGGGAAGGGAGAGGAGCAAAAAAATTGGAAAAAGACAAGTTACCTGTCAAACACAAGAATCAATTTTAGAATGCAAACAAGAACTACATTTCAATATTTCATATCATCTCAGTTGAGTAAACAAATTAAAGCAATTGAACATCATAAAAGTATGCATTTAACTTCTACGACCGGTCCCCATTGAACACAAACTTTCAATATCTTTCTCATGATAGAATTCTCAACCCACCTCTTAAAGATGACTCATGATCCTTTAGATTCTTTCTTAGGATGAACTACTCCAACAATGGCTTCCACTTCTTCCTTCACTCTTTCAAACACATTAGGGCCTTTAACATCATCTATAGGGGTGTCCTCATCGATATCGCCGCTCCTTCCATGTGTTTCTTTGTGATGGTGTGGTGTTTTATCACTGTGGATTATTGCCTCAACCTCTTCCTTTGCTCTCTCACTTATATTAGGTGCTTTAACGTCTTCGTCTTTCATATCAAAATATAAAAGAAAATAGAAAAAATAACAAAAAAAAACCATTAAATTGTCAGTTAATTTACCACCAAAGCTAAAATGAATAATCCTAAATCATGAATGAAAAAAAAAACCCATTTTTCTACAAAAGGCTAAATATTCACGGATCAAAGTATATGTTTACACAAAATTTGACAAAGCACTCCAACAATCAGGCATAATAAGTTCAATTAAAAGAAGAAGAAGATGAAGAAGACAAGAAGAAACTGAGACCAAATCAAAGTACCTGAGAGAGAGTCTGTTGGATGTTGTTTTGGTTCAGACATTTGATCTGACAATATTTCCAGCAGGAAATCTTAAACTTCGTTTGATTCAGAAACTTGGGATTTATAATCTTTTTCCATCAAATTGAATGCATCTTGACTGTAGATTTACGTGGGGCCCATCTTCCTGATGACATGGAAGGATCAGATTCGCAATTGACATTCTTTACTGGGTCATTGTAACTGGGCTACAAGGCTCACATAATCCGCTGGAAGAAGTAAAAGGCCAATTGATCACTCTTCCTTTATTTACAATTTTTTTTGGTGAAATTATCTGATACAGTGTCAGTAAAATTTTTTTAATTTCATAAGCAGATAATGACATATGTCTTACTTTTAATTATTTTTTAAATATATAAAAAATATATATTATTATATTAATCCTATTTATAAAATTAAAAAATTTCCTCATAAATATATTCGTAATTTTTCTTTTTTTTTTTATCCTTAATCTTACAAGTGTAATATATTTTTATTTGAGTATGCATCAATTTAAATTGGTGCATTCTTTAATTTCTACTCATAAAATACATACCCAAAAGAAAATCAGACTATGACAAGTATATATGCTTTTAGAAGATTCATTGCTAAGTAGTATTTAACCCTTAATAATACTAACGTGGGATTGGCTCAATTGGTAGTTAATTTGTTTGCTTCTATAAATGATTTTAAGTTCAAATTTGTAATAATATTTATCATAAACTCTTCGCTAATACAGATAAAAATTATAACGTCTGTGTCTTAGGCATTAATTGATTATATGAAGCCTTTACTAATCACAACAAAGATTTTTTTTTTTCATATACAAGAGACAAAAAAATTATAAAAAATTAGTTTTAAGATATGATATTTAATAATTTTAAAAATTAAATTTTAGAACATGTAAATTTTTTTTTTATTCTTAGACAATTATCTTTTTTATAAAAAAATAAATTTACCAAAGAAAAAAATGATGTAAAACGGTTTATTTATGAGGACCAAATAATTTGACTTGGTCAAAGGAAATAATCTATACCTCCATATATTTTTGTCTACAGACTAACCTCAGCATGATATTTTTAACTTAAGTAAAATGGTGTGTTTTAGTTGTTTTGAGGTATTTAAAGCTTTTTTTGTTTCTTTCATTCTTTTCTATCTATTTCTTTCTTTATTTTTTTTATTTTAATATAACCTCCATATATTTTTTACTACAGCTCGACCATATGTGTAATGTGGCATTCTTTTGTAAAACAAAACGGTACGCTTTGTTTTTATTTGGATATTTCAAGTCTTGGTTTGTTGTCTTTTCGGTGTTTAATTCATCATTTTATTGGCTTCTTCATAATTATCTTGACTTTTTTTTTTTCGTTTTCCCACCTTCATTTTACCCATTCACTATTTTTTTTATGTTGTTTCACATTTTTTTTTAGACTCTTGCTTTGTATTCGGGCTATTCCCCTCTTACTTTGTTTTAAATAATAGTTGACTCGTTTTGTATCAATTTTTTTTTAAAACAAGAATATTGTATTTTATATCTTTTTAATTGAGAATATAATAAGAGAATGGAAACTCTCAAGGATAATTTTGATTAAAGAAAAAAGAAAGAATTTTTTGGTCAACAATGGAAAATTTTTTCGCATTTGGTGTTCTTGGGCTGTTCTCAATAATTAGACAATGGGCTAACTTTTTTGCTATTTATTCAACTATGTTTACTGATTTACAAGTTTGGGTGAGGATTTTTTGAATTTTTTGGTTGGAATTTTGTTATCTATTTTTTTTATAATATATTTTCTTTGTAATTTTTTTTGCAATATATTTTCTTTGTAATTTTTTGAATGGAATATAATTGGCTAAATTAAACTCTTAACAAGTTTAATCAAAATAGAACTTAATAATTGTTATTTATCATTCTAGAGAATGTTTCAATACCATAAAAATATGTGGTTGTTATTTTTTAAAAATATAACAATATAGTATTAGATTTCTTTTAATTTTGTTTAAACTTAAATCTTGGGTTATTATTGTAGTTGGCATTTTATAAAATCAAATCGGGCTGTTTTATTAGTTAATTGCCTGACTACATAAATTTTATGTATTTATTTTTGTAATTATGGTACTTGATTTTATATTTTTTTTGTAACCTCTTGGATGTTTTTAATATGCTTGATTTGTAAATAATATTAAAAAAATAGATATAATAATCTTACTAAAGTGTGATTAATTTATTTCATATGTTGATCCTATTACTTTCTCTTGGTTAGTTTAAAAATGTGAGAGACTTAACTTTTCATATTTGTCAAAGTATTGTATGAGATAGTAATGCTAGCTAATAAAAATTAATGGTGTGCTTTGGAAGCTATGCTTCTAGGCTGTTTTTCATCGTAATATTCTTTTTTTTGGGTGGGTTTTATTTATTTTTAGCAGTTGTTATCTTTTTATCCTTTTTTGTTGTTTGATTGTGGTATATGTATTGTATCATTTATATGTCTATAAGAATTTAGGTTAGTGTTGTTTGTGTATTGACAAAGAATATATTTTGGTGTTTTTTTTTTCCCTTTCCAAAAGCTCGACAAGTTTTATGGATTTCCTTCTTACTTTACTAACTTTTACCTATGGTTTTTTTTGTCAGTGTTTGTTGTTGGAACAATTTTCACCTTTCTTGAATGGCTATGTTTGTTTACATCTTTCACTATTTTTTTTGGACAATAACTTTTTTATGTTTTTTATTCATTCTCACCATAGTCATTCTCTCTTTGTCATATTTATCCTTCTCATTTCCAAAATAGTAATCTTAACTATTTTGAATATCACATTTGATGTTACCTGAATTAATTGATTAGTAAGTACTTTTTTTGTTTGTGAAGTTTGTTTAAATTTGTCTAATGGTGGTTGTTAGTTTTTAAATCTTCTTTTATATTTTGTTACTATTTGTCTCTAACTTAGTTATGAAATTTTTTGTCATTTAAGTACATGGTCTATCAATTTCATAGATGCCATTTAATGCTTGAGTTCTTTTTTTACCTTTTCCCTATGGTAATGTTTTAATTCTCCTCAATTTTTTTATGCCTCATTTGTTAAATAGGTATTTTTTTGTCATTTATTTATAGCTCATTTATTAGTTTTTTTTTTTTGTTTTTGACAATTTACATTGTGCTGGCCTTTATATTTACTTGGTTCGTTAACTATCTTTGACTTTTGTTAGCTTGGTAATTTCATGATTGAGCATTGACATCCTTTTGCCTTTTGTTGTTTATGATTCATGTGCATTGTTGCAAAAAAATTCTATTAGTTTTATGCATCAGGTTAAGGTAGTTTATGTCTCTTTCTTATTTTCTATAATTTATATGCTGTATTATTTGTATCTATTTTATCAATTCTTATTTTTGCTTTGTTCTTATCAATGATCTAAATGAGTTTATTGTTTTGTGCTCCTACTTCAGTTATTTTTGTTGAGCACAACATGTGCGATGTTTCCAAACTATTTATTAAGTTTTTTTCTTACTCAAATTATCCCTTTTGTTTTTAATGACAATGAATAGTCATGATACAAATCAAACTAGAGAAAATAAAGCTAGAAGGGTTGAAAGATTGAGACAAAATAGAAATAGGGTAGGAATAAGATCAGCTTTTGACAGATTGACTATGAAAATGAGAAAAGTTCACCATATCAATGTTCATTCTAATGTTAACTTGAGGGCAACTTAAAAATCGTTAGCATCAAGTCTGCGCATGTTATTGAATGCAATAACCAATCCCATGTTTTGCCTAACCAATATAGACTTTATATCTTATATAATATATCTTCGAGTTCTAGCAGAGCATTTTTTCCTTAGATTGATCATGTTAATGCATGTAATTTGACAGTTGAATCAATAGGTACTGACTGTCCAAGTTTTGGACTAATCCTTTAATAATTATTTCTCCAAATTGTTGTTTATTAACTTTGGCACTTAACCTTTGTGTAGTTGTGTTTTTTTTTTTTTTTTCTTTAAAAACTTTCTTTGTCTAACCCTTCTGCTATTTCTTTTCCTATAGATAATTTGGCTAGTAAATATGTTAATCATTTTGATAATATGTCCCATGAAATTCCATAATCTAGATTGAGTGAATGAATAACACTCACTAGCTATAGTTAAGTTTAGTTCATTTGTTTGTGATTTTTGTTTATACGACGTTAAAAAAATGGTTTTGTTTTTTTGTCCTTTTGATATTTTAGGAAAATCCACTAAATCTTTAAATTTAGGTGGACTTACATATAATTGTCCATTTTATGAAGCTTATATGTGGTATGAAGAGAGAGTTAATATAACATAACGATCTCAAAATCCAACATTTTCTTTATGCTATAAAAAAAGTTGAGTTCACTTGTTTAGAACTAATCGCAAATCGCATATTTAGATCATTTATTAAATTTTCAATTGTGTGGTCAACCCACATTTTTTATAGACAATATTAGACTTTATAATTCTATGTTTCAATTTACTTCTTTAGGTGTAAAGGTTGACAATGTAATAACTAAGAAACCAGGACCATATGTTTTCAAAATAAGTGGTCAAAACTATCATAAGATTGGCTCTAGACATAGACCTCAATTTGCACAACTTTATATATATGATACTACAAATGAGAATCATAATAAGAAAACAGCTTTAAATTGTTAAGATGATAGGAATACTGTTGATAAAAGCTTGATTGATGGCCTATTACAAATGTTGGATGAGAATAATGAAATTGTTAAAGCTTTTAGAATGGTTAAGGATAGAATGAACCAATCAAATTCGTCTGACATTAAACTTAAACTATTAGGAACCATGACTGATTTGGATAACAACTACATATCTCTTATTGCTCATGAGATTGCTGGGTTAATTTTTAGAGATATTGTCAGCTTAGTAACCAGTGAGATATCATTGTTGAGCATAGGTTTATAGGTTTGCAACATATTAGTAGCCTCCATCCTTTATATATGCCTATGTAATATCCTTTGTTCTTTCCTTTTGGGGAAGATGGTTACATGACTAATATTAAATATAGGTCAAGAGGTGGCAGAAGAACAATTAAGAAGGAATATGCCACCATGAGAGAATATTATGCATATTTGGTCCAACAATGCCTTAATGA